CATTCTGTGCAGCAAAATGGAGCGGAGGATTCAGCCTCTCTTCTCGCCTGCTCAATGTACTCCGGCTCTCATCTGTGTACTCCGGCTCAAACAGGTATGGCTCTGGGTCTGTGTCCGCTACAAGAAACTCTTCAAAATCGCGTTCAAAGTCGTCCATTGCAGCTACTATAGTCCGGAGATATCGCTAGGCTAAATAAACAGCTGAGCTCTGTTTACCGGCTACGTTGTCAGTCAGTGTGCGGGCTGGAGGTTGGTGGAGCAGAGAGGGGAGGGGGGTCCCCACTTGGCATGGTAAACGAGTATGTGTGTAAAGTTATGAAGTGTGTGTGTTACGCTAGAAGAGTCAGAGTTTGGGACGGAGTCTTTTACCCCCTGGAGTGTTACCGGAGTTTCTGGAGTGCTCAAATAAACGGGCTTTTTTCCCGAACGCTCCTCTGGTCTCCTGCTTGTGAGTGATTCATTACAATATCGTAACATGGTTTAGATTTCAAAATAAACATTCACCTCGTCGCTAGATAGACCTACTCCTGAAAAACTTGTGCGCAAGGCTTTTTGTCCCTACGTGGCCATCAAAGTCCTTTATTAATACATGGATAACCAACCAGTTTTGATGAGAGAGTCTAGTCCTACTGGACAAAAAACATTGGCAAAAATTGCGAATGAAAATGACATAAATGAGTACTTCATTTAAAGTATACATTTATGTTGTATGGAAGTATGATGAAGACTCTCTAGTCAAAACATGTTGTTATGCACAGTCAGTCAGTCAGAGTGCCTTGGATGCATTTTTGGACTGCCTCCCTATACTATGTACTTTTACACTGAGTGAGCAGGACAGTCGTTGAACACAGTTCACTCAATTCCGATGTTGGTGTGGGGGAGGGGGTTTAAGACGCTATTCAAAAACACAGCAGGCATACTGACACTTTAAACTGTACCGATCTAGACCATTACTTACTGTATGTGGCCACATCTAGTGGAAATTATACTTTTTATTATTCTGCAGCCATTTTGAAACAATAACTGCTTCTATCTATATACCAGGGAATGGTTTGACATTTTGGGAAATGCCCTTATTTACTTTCCTGATGAGAGTAAGATGAGAAGATTGCTACAGCTCTCATTTTAGTATCAGCCTTCTCATGTAACTCTTGGAAAGAAAGCGATAAAGTGTATACAAAATGTGCAACTATTTCAACACTGAAAAACCAAATCTCTATATTGACAGTAATCGTATGGCATTAATAATGAGGTCGCACACCAATGTGCATCAAGATAATACACTGCAAACAATAAACTATTGATATAAAAACAGAACAAGAACCTTTTTTTTACAAGCTGTATATCATTAAATCTTTCACCCTCTTCTCTGCATTATCAAGGTGGTGATATCCTCTGAAGCCTTCTTCTGTCTCCCCCTCTCATTACCGCTGCCGCTTTGATGCTATGGGTTAGAGGCACAGGAAACCAACGGGAAAATATGTTCAACTTTCTAGATACTGTATATCTGTCTCTGTAATGATGATAAACATGAATAAAGTGATGTTGGATTGTCTTTGATGATCCTCACATTCAAAGGAAAAGGAATATAGAGACTGTGACAAAGTCCTTGGAGAGTTTAGTTAAAAGTAGAGCTGGTGGGCTCTGGGGCAGACAGGGTAGCACGCGCACACACACACAATCAAACACACACCTTGCAATTGTTATTCTTTCAGCTTAAATGGAGGAGTTATTCGGCATGCACATCTCCCATTCACAGTTTTTTTGGAAATAACAATCCAAACTGTGAAAAGTGAGGAGGAGGGACCAGATTCACATTCGACATTTAAAATAACAGCCATAGCCGGCTGTCTGCTTTTCCAAGAATATGAGGCTGGATGCAGAATGTGCCGTGGGCCTGACTTACAAAAAGCTCTGACCTGTTAAAATCACATTTAACTATGATCTAGCTGAATACAGCTCCAATAAAAACTCTTTTGAAAGAAGATGAAAATGTCTTGATATGTATTAAAGTTTTTTGCATTTGGTTTGAACTCGTTGGGGCCTTAAGCAGTGTATGAAAAAAACAATTTTTCCTAACTTAAAGACAGTTTTAAAATAATTCGCCTTAACTGTTTTGTAAAACGTGACTTAAATAACACATTTAAGTCACTGACAGCATATGTAAAGTATGCATGTGTTATACCACCACATGGAACTGTGAAAACCCCAGTGCCGTTGACTGTTGCTAGTGTAAGTGCTGATCCATATCCAAGTGCGCCATATGTTTCTTGTGTAACTTATTGCTTTCCCATTCCCAATAAAGTGGCAGAATAAAAAGGCTTTTACAGGTCCCTGCGGGTAGCAGCTACTTCCAGTGGTAGTCACTGAGCTGTGGGGCTGCTGTGGTGACAAATGGCACCAAGCACATATTTTACTATTGCCATTTACAATGCATGATCCAGGCTGTGCTGCTCAAATGACTGCAGCAACACTGTCGAGAGTTATGTTAGCAGAAAGTGTGTAGGTGTGTGTGTGTGTGTGTGTGTGTGTGTGCTGCAAGCACCTATACAAATATGTATTAAGATTGTTTTGAGTTTATTCATCAGTCATTTAATTGTTTATGTTTTCCTTGAGTAGTCAGATATTTCAAGGTGACACCGTGGTTATATAAGCAGTGCTAGTAGATCATTAAAAAGAGATGTTTATCATATTGGATTCGTATTCTACCTTTGCAAAGTTGACGTCTGTACAAACAAAAATCAGGACATATTGCCACATGAATGTACTGTCTTAATATGTGGAAATGTGGGGGAAATACTATAAACAAACCTGAGGTCACCGTTATAAAAAAGGACAGCACGTACAGCTGGAAACATCATTATGTTGTAATACAGTCACTATTACATGGTTGTGGGCAGTGAAGGACATCTTCTTGTAAAATGAACAGTCTTTCATACTTCCCATTTTTAAAAAATCATATTTTCAGCCAGTCACCTTTGATAAATTTGAACAAATGAAAAACGTGTTCACGTCCTTCTCCTGCTGTTAACATTTCCATTTTCCATTTCCTAGTACTGTTATGAAGAAATGTAGCAACCAAGGGCGTAAGTTTAATTTCAACATAGGGTTCAAACTATCTTTGTTTTGTTGCGTTCAAATGTATTAACAAAAGTGGACAACTAGAATGTCATTGTTACATACACCAGTTGTTCCCAACTGTTTCAGTCACAGGGTCCAGACTGCTCCATAGTCACTGGCTCAAGGTCCACAATACATACAGCATCATACTTGTGTTTGGCCCTGTCGTCAAGGTAGTCTTCTGTCTTTGTTAAGTAGCTGTCTGTTATTCACTCACTGTACAGCAGGAAAAGGCATGTCAAAACAAAAGTTTGTGCCAGAAATTCACTGTACTTTAAAAATAAAGTGTGTTTTGTTGCCTCTCATATATGTGTTTTCAGCATCTTATTCCTTTTGTACAGCACTTTGGTCAGCGTGAGTTGACTTTTTAAAATGTGTCTTATAAATAAATGTGAGTTGAGTTTTTACAAACACATTCTCATGTCACTTGCGGCCCATTCAGAATAAACCTGCGACCTACTTTTAGACTGCAACCCACCAGTTGGGAACCACTGACATATTTATATCACTGTCACTTGTCACAGATTTTAGTGTTAGTATTAAAAAAGAAATCCATAAGCATAAAATCGTAAAGAAATGTCATTAGAAAAGTGTTAGTGTGTGCACTTTTCGTCTGCGGTCCTCAGTCATGTGTTGGCTCCTTAAAATGGCACTCAGTCATCAAAACTTTGAGAGCTCCTAATCCAAGATGTTTGTTTTAAAAGCTCTGAAATGATCAGTTAAGCTGTTAAGTCTCTAAATATTTCTCCAGGGTGGAATCCCCCCCACCCCAAAACCCACCTCAAGGGTTGGGTTGCAGAAGATTTAGACCATGGGTGTCGAACTTAGGTCACGTGCCACATATAGCCCATTTTAATCTCAGATGGGCCGGACCAATTAAACCATGACACAATAACCTATAAGAACCATCAGCTCCAATATTTTCCCTTTTTTCTGTAAAGAATTACAAGCACATTCTGTAGACAGTCATCATTTTACAAAACAGATGAACAGCTTCCTGATACAGATTATTTTGAACTGAAGCTGCTGATTGACAATATGTTGCACAATGTTCAGTATCTTTAAACATGGTCACAGTTAGTATTCAGTGTTATATCAGGGGACTGTATTCTGGTCAGGGTGGAAAAAAAAAACAGGCAGTAGGCAACACATTGTGCCATTGTTTAACTGGGTCCTGAAACCTGGCACCTCTTAGTCTACTCATCTATTGGGCCGGATTGGACCCTTTGGCGGCCATTTCTGGCCCACGGGCCTTATGTTTGACACCCCTGATTTAGCTTGAAAACCGTACGGTAAATAACTCTTGTTTAGATAATCATTAACCAGGCTTACTTTATTTATTTCTTCTTAAGTGTTTCTTATTAAAGCTGCTAAACTGTGCTGTGGAGATTTTACCTTTCACAGCACATCCTTTTGCAGGTCCAACGCACGTGGCCGTCAGGGGGCAGCCATCAGTCGGTGAGCTCCCGGAGAAACGTGGCTCCTTGGTTTGTTCCACACCGGCTGCAATTATAGGCGCACACGTGCGTACACGCGCAAACAATAGAAAGATACAATGGATTTAAAAAGATATCGAAAAAACTAACATGATAAGTCACAAACATAAAACCAGTAGATAAAAAACAATAATTAAAGAAAGTGAAAATGAAACATCTGTCTGCGGAAAAGTTTCAAGACAATATGATGAGGTTATTTTCAAGCTTTAAAAATGGGATAAGGAGTGAGGGTGGGAGGGAATAAACTTCACTCTAAACCTATCAAACACAAATATGCCCATCAGACATGTCATTAATAGTCAGGTGTTTTTTATTTGTGTTTATGTTATTAAAGTATGAAAGAGGAGGAAGAGGAGAGCAGAGTGAGTGCGAGAGGGAGAAATAGAGAGTGTATGGTAGCCAGAGGGCGGTGGCATTTCTGTCTCTCTGCGTAAACGGAGCGAGTGGAGAAGGAGAGAGCGCACGGTGAGGAAAGCAGAGCTTAGTGGCAAGGCAGCGGTGCCGCTGACACGAGTAAAGGGACCCCGTGGCTGTTTCCACCACCTCTCTCTTCTCACAGCTTAACCTGCGCCTTCTCACACGGACTTCGACATCGGGACTAGAGGCTGTATACACCTACCGACCCTCCTTTTGGTTTTTGGACTCGTTTGATTAATCAGCAGAGACCCTGAGGTGGAAGTGTGGGGGGGATTCTTGTTTCCCCCACCGTGGACCGAGGAGTTGTGTGTGTGTTTATGTGTTTTACGCGTTGCTTGTAATGGGGAAAAGTGGACAGAGAAGTGGAATAGGACACGGGCGTTGCAGCTTGGTGAGGATGTGCGCCACGCCGGGGATCCTGCTTCTCCTGGTGCTCGCACACAGAGGAATCGCCCAAGGTAAGGCTGGAGAGCGCGTCTTCTTCCAGATCTTTAAAATAAAGTGTGGACGCGGGGAAAGCTTTCCTGCATTGCCGAGTTGCGGCTGCGTGGCTTCGGCGGTGCTTGTTACAGCAGGCAGGGAGGCACAAGTCGCTCCTGCCTGGGAGGTTTACTTTTTTATTTCCATATAAATTGAGCAGATGCTGATGAGTGGATGCTTTACGGCCAGCTTCTTGAAGGTGTACACCGCGTATGTCTGCGCATTTACCTGCGCGGTGCCAACTGGAAGGCAGAACTCGCAGCCCACGTTTCCCTGCGAGAAACCAGTAATGAGCTAATTAATTTAGGAAGACTGAAAAATATACGGTTAATTAGAAAAAGACTGAGTAATATGTGATGGAATATAGGGTCTGGACTCGCGATCAGGAACCAGATGAATACGAACGTGGCTACACAAACTCCCCAAGTCCCCGTCGGAATTGAATATTGCAGTGATTTCTCGTCAGGACTGTAAAACCGGAGGAATCAACTCTCCAGATCGCAGTTAAATTAAGGTGAAAACTGTGAAGGGCAGGACTGGAGTCCACGATTAGCCGACTAATGTCTCATTGCAGTCGCCCGACAGAGGCGACGCTTCACCGCGCCGATCGGAAAATTGATCAGAAGTCACAAACACTCGCAGCCGCCAGGCAGAGGCAATTACACACATCTTACAAGATATGTGCTGCAAACATTACGCACTTTCAAGACGAATGCCACAATATCACAAGCTCATCATCATTAGCTTATAAAGAGAGCTCCCCAATATCAAAAACGAGGCTGTTAAAATGATAAGGTGTTGTGTATCCGTACAGTCCTCGCGCTGTAATCCTCCGGTGAAGCATACCAGGAATATTAAAGTGATATATCTCAAGAGTGGTGTGCGGCCACACAGTGATTGTGGAGGATATGCAGGTCACAGGCTGAATGAAGCCCCGAATATGCTGCCTAACTTTATACCATCGAGGCATTTTATTCTCATTTAAGAGCTCTGTGAGAGTCACTGTGTAATAGGCTGCTCCCACGAAATGCTGACAGCCAACACCTTTCTCTCTCTCCCTCACACTCTCACTGACCTTCTCAGGCAGAAACTTGTGCCTTGTTAATGTTCATGCAAAAGCATTAATGTCCAACCCTTCTGTTGTTTTAACAAATTGCTTAATTCACCACATTCCCCCTGCACGCTCTCAGTCACCTAAGAAGTGTGACCTTATAACAGGCACTTACGGCCGCTTTCATTCCCTATTATAGTTCATAAGTATAATATTCTAATACCCTATCAGGGCCCAGTGTTGCTTTAATCTTTACACTCCATTATATAAGTAATATTCCATGTGAAAGCCTCTCAGAGGAGACACTAAGTTGCCCAGTCCGCACCAGAATGCAGTCAGAAAATTGGTATCGACATTACTGATTGGCCTCAGGTTTTTGTGCTGAATTTGGGCAGTAATTGGACATGATGTTGCTGTCACCTTTTTCCCGTTGCCCAGGGGAACAGCATTTCAGCAACACCCACCAATATTCATTATGACCGTTCTCTATTGGTTTACTGTTAAATCAATACATTGCAATTTAGGGACACGATCTGAGTAGGCTTTCGCCCACCTCTGATAAATTGCACCTTGCCACCAGCGTGCGACTCAATTTGACTTTGGTGGAGAAATCTGATAATTGGAAACTAAAACTGTTGATGCTTTTCAGGCAGATTAGACTCTACAAGCTATGCACACACTCCCGAAAACTGCAGTTTTGTGGCTCATCCTGCTCCCTCCTCTTAAAGCTTTATATTTCTCCTCTCCCTCTTAGTTTGGCTCGTCTGTTGTGTTCCTGTCTGTTATTTCTCTGCTCCCAACAACTTGACTTGTGTCTCTGAAGTTGGTTCTTTGTGTGCGAGGAGTCACTCCATTAGTTGTTCTATTGAATGGGGCAAAACACACAAACTGCATTGACCTAACTGTGGGGGGGGTGGGTGGCTTTGTGTACATAGCTGATCCTCTCTGTGCATCAGTGCTGGATTCGATTCCCCGAATCCATTCAGGTGGACGTTATCCTTTCAAATCACAAACTGTGTTTCAGTGTGCGTTTTGTCTTTGAATGGGAAACACAAATAGTTGTTTTAACCAAATGATTGTGCTGTTTAGCTCTGCTCATGCATCATTGAGTGTCTTATGGCCAGTTGTTGCCTCCAGTTTAACTCCGCTGTGGAATATGTGGTTTGGTATGTTTTAATAGCCGAGTTTGTTTTTGAGGTCGTGATTAATGATGTTCAGGATGGCGTATGGAAATGATGCTGGCACTGCTGTGGATTCAAACCGAATAATGATTAATGATAAGAACCTTCAAATATGTTTTTTTGAATCCATTTTTTGAGCACACATAATGGATTCAATCCAAGTCAGTCTACGTTACATCCAATTCTCTTCTGAGCTTTTAATTATGAACCTTTAAATCATTTAATCTGGCATGTTGACATCTTTCCCTTAGCTCTGCAGAGCTATAGAAACTGTGTTGCATTATATGCACACAGGCGTGCCCTTACAATGAGAGGAGAGTGTTAGCTGAGATCCTCTCATGCCAGTTCGAGTCCATGTGTCCGACTTCCAACTAAGCCCCACCCTCAAGCCTCTTGGCCTATTAAAAAAGCCATTAGCTAAGCCTCCTTACATTTGATCTGGAATGAATGGGTGTCAAGATCACTCGACAAAAAGCCCCATTGTTTATTCTGATGACTAAGCTGCGGTGAAGAAGTCAGGTTCTACAAGTGAACTGCTGTATCGTGTTAGTCTGAAACACTCGGTGTGTTCCTGCTTCTCTACCCTGCAGTCCCAGTCAGTTTAGATTCCACAGTCCGTAGTCGGGGTTCTGGTTACAGACGCTCATATTTCTGTGGCGTGTTTCAGCTTGGAAGAGCAAAAGTTAACACAACCATTTATTCAAGGATACTTTTTCACTTTGAATGTGTATAGTCTTGAGCTGGATCATTGATTGACAGCAACACCGTTGGAAATCAAAAACGTGGGCGTTTGTGTTCACGTTTGTGTGTCTGTGCGGGTGGGTGTTGGTGTGTAGGTGTGTATGTGCGAACCCGGTTGTGCCGAGGTGTATAGATGTACTGAAAGTGCACACAGGAGGGGTGTGTGAGTGTGTGTTTATGAACTTGGCAGCTTAGGGATGTTCTCAGGGAACTCCTGTGGTGTGTGTGTGTGTGTGTGTGAGTGCTTCTGTGTACACATGTGCCAGAATGTCTATACGTGGGAGATTGTGTGATTTTGTACATGTGTGTGTCAACTTGGCATCGTAGCAGTGCTCCAGCAGAGCTCGCATGGTATTTCGTTGCGCGTGTGTGTGTGTGTGTGTGTGTGTGTGTGCGCGCGCCTGGCATTATGATATTGTCAGAGCTCCCATGCTGTCTCCCATTATGCTCTGATCCTGTCCCATGGTGCACTGCAGCCATCCAGGGTTCAGTGCTTGTAGGGGGACAGCTGGGAATTATTGGAACTAAATAGGCCAATTTGATTGGCTGTACTAGTCCAGCCAGCGCCGTGCGATTGGGCGAGCAGGTTTAATGTGGTAAATTTGATGCTGTTTCTGTATCAGAGCGAGAGAAGGGAAGGATGAATGGATGAGGAAGGGAGAGATCTCTCTGGGTGGTTTGTACCAGCTTTGATCACTCCACTAGGACTTGACAAGCTGAGTGACTGCCACACACACACACACACACACACACACACACACGCACGCAGTGAGATATTTCTGTGGTCAAACAATGCTGCATTCTGTCTGGATACTCTGCATGTGTGTATGTGTGTGTACTTACGTGTGTGTGTGTGTGTGTGTATGTGTGTGTGCTTGGACAGGCGTTCACGGGAGTGTGTGAAAGGAAGTCTTTGACTGTGTCTGGGGTTGTTTTGTATAGAAGACCCTCCTGCTGCTAGCAGCAGCCTAGTGATGGCAGATTTCCCTCACCCTCTATGCCTTCTTTATAAAAAAGGTTTTATCATTGCTTACTCATCCGTACATTTCATAGACTCTTACTTTAAGTGTGACCAGTTATGAGACATTTTTCCACCCACCTTTTCTCTATCTCTATCCTTTCAGTCTCTCTCCGCCGTGAGCTGCTGAATGGGCTTTACTGACCTTTTTTCTCTCTCCTTGCCTGTGGCCTTGCGTGTTCATCCATTCACTCCGTAGACTTTATGCTGGACTGTGACAAAGGTGGACCTCATGTGTCGACCTACAGTTGTGTGCAACTTATATGTAGTTGACATGGAGCATACAGCAGTCACAGCTCGGCCTATTCCAAGAATCAAAAGCCTGAACGTGGGTTGTTTGTGTAGCGGCAGAGAATTTCATTTGCAGTACGTTTTTCTGTGAGGAAAGCAGAGATGAAATCCGGTTTAAAAGGCTCAAGTGTGGTTTTCAAAAGGCTGTGTTGACAAAGTGTGTCACACCGCTCGCACCATTTACTATCTCCCGCTCTCCGTAGGGGAAAACCCGGGATGGAACATAAGAATGTATCCCTGTGCGTGTGTTTGTGTGCTCATTTGTGTCTGTGAGTGTGCGTGTTTACTAGAGAGACAGGCTGAGCTGGAGAACAGAGGGAAAAGAGAAAGGAGAAGCTAAATGTTCTGAAACTGATTCCCAGCGTCTCCTGCTGTTAGGCCTAATTCCTTCTAGAGTTTCATGTAAAGATCTGGAATTATGAATTTTTCATGGCCTGCGAAACCTAAGGCCTCATTTGGGGCTCTCATTTCCAGGCTTTTTGTTTTAGTTAGTTGTGTGTGTGTGGCGGGTGTTCTGAGAGAATGTCATTTTTTCCCAATCAGTGGCCTACTATATGGTTCCCACTGGTACCATGCAGTCCTGCGCTGCAAAAAATATAAGCCTATTTTAGTGTTTTTAATCACAGATTTAGATGTACACTATCTTCATTAGCTCTAAAGTTATATTATTATACCCACTGAGAGATAAAAAACACT